GAATACCATCTCTTCTCATCTCCATTTCATGGCGGAGGGAAGGGGGTTCTGTAGTTCAGAGCTGATCACTAAAAACTTTAGGGCACTGTGTTGTCCGTTCACTACAGGAAACGCACTGGGTTTCTGAACGATGGCGACTATTCCATGGTTGTAGAGTTTTTTTACAGACAGAGCCTGGGGGAGCAGACATGTATTGCAGAGATGCACTGCAGGGGCTCGATTACCGGACATATCCTGTTTAGTTTCTAATGGAATTTGTGAAAATATTTCACACAAATGTATAACCTGCACCCTACAGCCGAATCGCTTGAATAAAAGCTGCAAACAGGTCCTCGGTGTAACGTGTGGGTTTTTTTTTTTTTCTTCAGATGTCTGAAAGCCTGCCATGCCAGCAATGCTGCGGACTCCTAACGAACAACAAGTTGCCTAGTAAGTTTCTCTCTTCTTTGTTCCCAACTTCTCCTCATTCGGCAGGGGACGTGCCCATGAGCTAAAATTCTGCACTTAAAATCCCACCATGACCTCCTATCCCCTTCCTGCCCAGAGTCATTAGTACAGTGTCAGTGCTTTTTATTAGCACTGATTGGTGTCACTGGGGATGTCCGTGACACCAAGTCAGTTCCCCCCCAGTGTCAGAATGCCTGCTGCTGTCCCGCTATGTCGATCGAGTGAGCCAAGCTGAACCGGTCTCCTCCTTCCCCCCATCCACCCTTCTGACTGTGCTTATCCCTTCTACTCCCAGGGGTTCCAGACCCTGGGCACCTTCTCCAGGCTTAACAGCCCCGCCATTAGAATTCATGCCATTAGAACCCATGCCCTCACTCTTCAGGGTGGCACTGTTACCGGATAAAGGCACCATGAGGCTGGATGTGGTTAATGCCCTTTAGTGAAATCCTTGATTGGTACATGGCTTCAATGGGTCACAGACCTGGACACTATTCCCTGGGGGGGGCGGACTGACAACTCATGGGGGCCCCAGGCAATAGGGGATCATGGGGCCGTGTCCTCACCCACACCCAAAAAAAGCCTATAAAAGGTACTGGGGGCATCTCATGGGACCCCTTACTGACCCTGAGCCCGATTGGTCAGTCCGCCCCTGCTTTTCCCATAACTAATGGACTATTGCCCCCAGGCCCTGGTGGTGGCTGATCAGGTCCCTGCAGATGGACAGGTCTTATGTTCTTCCTGGGCTAAGAATGGGTGGGACAGAGGTAAACAAGCTTCCAAGGTCCTTTCTCGGGCTAGTATGGGAAACCCCGGGGCACCATGCCCTCCCCTCAGGGTGGGGAAGAGCAGATGGAGGTTTCCTCTCCTCTTCCTCTCCAGACTGACTCACTTTCCTCTCTAGGTCCTTCCTAGTCTCCCAGCCTTCTCCCAAGGACAGGAGGTACCTTAAAGGGGACCTCACTCTACCACCTGTCTACACTCACTGTCTTGGGAGAGTATTTGTAATTCAGGGGATTACAAATCATGCCTCTGCCTTTGGGAGTCATGCTTGTAGATGTCAATCTTGCAATACCTCATGGGACTTCTAGTTTGGTAACAGCTTGAGAGCCCCCAATCATTCTGGGTGGGTTCTTGTGGTGATGGCATACATATCCTCAGGTCAACTGTTTATTTCTGGTAGACCAGGTGAGAGATCACACCACACCCTGGAGCTCCCTTAAGCCTGCACCATGTTGGGGTCTACTGAGGTCCTCTGGCTTGGCACAGCAACCTGGTTCATGGCCAGGGGTGGACTGACCATTTGGAAACTTGGGCACTGCCCGGGGTCAGTAGGGGGCCCCATGAGATGCCCCTGGTACCTTTTTTCATAGGCTTTTTTGAGTTTGGGCAAGGACACAGGGGCCCCATGATCCCCTATTTCCCTGGGGCCCTATGAGTTGTCAGTCTGCCCCTGTTCACGGCAGTCTTCCTCGTACCTCCCCTCGACTTGTTCCCCTTGCAATCTGCTCTACCGCTTGGCAAACTGTCTGGAGCTCAGCGCACAGCAGCAACTCCAGTGTTGCTCAGCAGAGTTATGGTTCTCCCTTTTCTGAGTTTCTGGATGCAGTGGTGCTCACCCCTTCCTTCCCCTCCCAGGATTTCTGCTGTTGCCCGTCCATTCTGCTCATGCATCAAGTGTGTAGAGCTCACCCCTGTAGGAGCCCACTCTTTAGTCCCTAGGCTCTTTCCTTGTAGTTGCACCCACAGCCAGGCTCGCGCAAACAATCACTCGTTTTGGCTCAGTAATCCTTCTAGGGCACGGGTGTCAAACTGGTGGCCCTCAAGCTGTTGCCAAACTAAGTCCCTTGAGGCATGTCGAGATTGACAGTTACAAGCATGACTCCCAAAGGCAGAGGCATGAGACTTGTTGCTAGTTTGACACCCCTGGTCTAGGGGCCTTGCTGGTGATGTCACACCAGCAAGGCTCCCATCCATCCTCTACACATCTGCATCAGAGGCTGGTCAGTAGCTCTGAGGAAAGGGATTTGTCCCTGAAACGTGTTGGCCATTTGATTGCACTGACAGTTGGAACACCTTGCTTGCCATTGTGGCCATTGTCATTATGCAAATGCTTTTTAGATACATGCTTTGTGAGTTTTTTTATTCACTCCTTTCAATAAACCTTGGATAATGCGCTAGGAGTGTGCGCCACTTTGTTCTCTATTTAGTGGCTGATCTCCCAGTCTGAGGGCTGCACCCCTGAAGCATTTCCTTTTGGTTTTCGCTGTCCTGGTTCCCTTGGCTTCCCTTTTGGCTGTGCATATCCTGAGGCGCTGGAGAGTACATACGATACCCCTGGTCTAGGGGTATGCTTTTCTTCTGCTTTATTGCAGAATTTGAACTTGGGTAGGTGTAGGATAACTGTGCTATCCTAAGCAACTTTAAGAAGCATGACTACTCCAATCTTCCTCGGAAGGGCAGCAGCCCTCCAGGCTGGGGTCTCCTCCTCTAGGACAAGATCCCCTCTGTTTCAAGCCCCAGGCTATTTATGCTCCCTCCCAGCCACCATCTGAGCACCTCACCCCTGGGATTGGCCAGGGCTGCATTAATAGCTGCTGATTTGCATCTCCCAGCTCACTATCCTCTAGAACTCTTCCAGACAGGTGGAAGCAGTCAACCTTGCAGCCAGTGACATACAGAACAAACCAAAACAGTCACATGCATCTCAACTGATTACAGGAGAGCTAATTACTACATTTGCCTAACCTAGAACCTATCTAGGAGGGTGCTACAAATGGATGGGGTTAAAATCCGGCTGTGGGATGCACTCAATCCAAACCAGTCTCAGGTCCCTGTCTCCACCTTCTCCATTGTCCTGTCTCAATGGAGAAGCAAGCTGCTTGGTGGCCATAGGAATGGCTGGGCGCTGACTTGTGCAAGCCATAGACGGTTTGTTTATAGGCCAATTTTTCATCCAAAAAAGAAACATCATTCGTTCTGTAATTTGATGTTGCCACCAATGATTTCAAAAATCGGTAATTTTTCACAAATTTTCCAGCATGACCAATAAACGAAATGAGGTGGGACCATGACAATTGGCCGATGCCATTGCCCCACGAACAGTGCGAAAATCAGCAGATTCTTTCTGATGAAAAATTGGCCGATTTTTGAACCATCTATGGCCTGCATTACACACCTTAAAGGGCCTCCAGCCAGAGCTACATGCCTAATTTCCTGTCTGGCTAAAACTTAATTTATACAGGAAGTAAAGGGCAATCTGTCAATTGAATATTTTAGTTATGCGTAAAGTGGTGGTTTAAAGTTTGATGGCCAAAAAAATAAAAAATTCTCTAAATGTAGGATACAAGTCACTGGGCGACATCAGATTTTCCTTGTAATAGCAGCAGAATGGAAAATACATTTAGAAGACTTGGTGTTCATGTGGCAGTGGTCCTCAGGACTCTTCAGGGTGAAGCCAGAAGAACATGGAGGCCTAAAACAACCTGGGGGGTTCCACTGAATAAATGGGGAGATGCTGAAGAATCCTTTTAGTGTATTATGTATATAAAAAAATGTGAACTGTGCTTTAGATGTAAGATGAACATAGTAACTTGTATTTAGCAAGGTTGCGGTAACACAACTGAGTAGAACACACAACCTTCCATGGGTGAAAGTCAAGAATATCAATGTCTCCACACAGTTGACCACTCTCGGTGTCTCAGGGATCCACATCTAGGTCTTCATAAAGGATTCAAGGAGGTGATCTTGTTGGAGAGAGTAAAAAACTTGGAGAAAGTAGTAAAAAAAAACTGTTGCTGGTTACAACAGTGAAGACTCCTCTGCCATTTGAACCAATGACAATTTTTTTACTTTCCAACAACATTTAGGAGACTTGCACCAGTGTTGCAACTACAGGCTGGATGAGGGTATGCTGTCATGATTTGGTGGCAATGCATTATTGTAAGGGATTTCCGGAGAGACTAATTGTGAATAGAAACGGCCGGAGAAGAGTGATCGGTTGTGCACACACGGCAAAGATTGGCGCCAGACGGACTATTTAAAGGGTGTCTCTGCCCATGTTGAGTGCTGACTGGTCTTCATTTCCCCCGTGTCCTGCTTGTTCCTGTGTGATTCCCTTGTTGCTGACCCGGCTTGTTCCTGACCGGACTCTGATTGCTCTCCTGATTGATACTGGTTCCTGACTTCGGCTTTGCTTCTGATTTTTGTACCGTGCTGTCCACCTGTTGCCCCTGGCTATTCCTATGACACTGCTCCTGTCTTACCCTCACTACCTGCCTTGTTCTGGTGCACGCCTGGCAATCTACAAGACCTGCTCTGCTTGTTACTACTGTGCCTGAATCGGAGGATCATCAGTCTTCCAAGGTCATCTGCAGGAGCTGCAAACATCTACTGGTGCTCTGGTCCCCCTGGTCCCTAGACACCCTCTGTTCCAAATCCAGTGGGGTCAGGGCTAGTGACACAAGTGAGGCCGACCTCTTTTCAGTCTCCCATCAGGTACGTGACAATTATAGTACAGTATAGTGAAGGAAGTAAATGCATGTGCTTCTGTATGTCCAGTCCCTCTGCAGGGGATCGTGGCTGACGTCCAGGTGACAGGCTTTGTGGCGGATGTATCGGCGACTCTCAAGTATAAGAACAAGGAAGAAAATGCAGTGGAAGCCATCTTTGTCTTCCCCATGGATGAAGACTCCGCTGTCTACAGCTTTGAGGCCACAATAGAGGGGAAGAAGATTGTAGCCGACCTTCAGGAGAAGAAACAGGTAATGGACACATTGCTAGGGGTGTAAAACTACATTCCAGGAAACATCACAATGCTCAACAATTCGCTAATTAACTGTCTCTTATGCAATCCCAAACATTGCAGATCTTGACCTGTGCAAAAGTTGTAAGAATGGCTTGTTCCTTCCTGCAGCTCCCTGTTGGTCTGTACATTTTGTCTGCCTCCATGATCAGTAGGATGTTTCTGGAGGCAGGAAAGGGGCAAAACAGCTTTTCACTTTCCTTGCAGAAGTCAATGTTTGCATACTGGCCAATGTATGGAAGTAGGTGGTGGTACCTAACGGCTCTTGCATTTAATCCCCCCCCACTGATTTAATAAACTGATCCAGAGCACTTTTACTTCAAAATGACTGGTTCCAGCTTTACCTCTCAAATTTCAGTAGTTGTGGTTTGGAGAAAATGAAACTGGGCACCACAAGTAACAATTTAAATAATTGTCAGCACTGTATGTCCACGATGTCTTGGTAATTACACCTTTGCATGAGGGAAGGGGGGGATTGGGTCCAATTAGACTGGAGGTCAGACAATCATCTGGTCCATTCATGGTACAAATGGTTTCCTATAGGCTAAAGAACACGTGCCATGCCACTGGAGTGAACAATAGACATGGCTGAAGGTGTTGTCTTGGGCAGGCATCATGCTGGAGAGATGTTTGATGTGCATTATGCCAGAAGTTGGCATGTTGTGTAAAGGCAGCCCTTTCATTTGAATGGGCTGCCCAATGCAATACAAAAGGTGATTTTACTTTGCCATTACCATGTACAGCCCACCACAACGAATGGTTGTGGCAAAGTGTGTTGGGGTGCCATTAGGAATGAACAGCACCACAGTACACCAATGTGAATTTGCGCATTTTCATACCCTGTCCCACAGGTTGACCTAGAGGGCTAGGCTCAGTGTATGGTGGAGTGGAAATTATCAGATTGTGGAAGAGGAAAGTTTAGCACCATCCTCTTGGGGGTTAAGGATTTGGGCCCCCCTATATAGTCCTGCATAGCCAGGCAATTTGCATTCTCCACACAAGCTTGCATCCAGAGTCAAAATCAGTCCTTGAGCTTTGTTGTGTTTGGTTTTTTTTTGTTTTTGGGTTTTTTTTTTTTTAGGTTTATTAAGGGGGTTTAGAACTGGGATATGGTAAGGGGGTTATCAGGGGAACCTACAACTGAGGACAAACTTCCTGTAACTATTCACAAGCTTTCTCTCTGCCACAGTCTGTTGGAGGGGGGTAGCCAGCATCTCCTTGATGTACCACCCTAGATAAACTTCTCCTCTTCACCCAGCAATCCAGAGGTGTCCCTGAGCAGGAGATCAAGGTCTTATCCCTTTAAATAGGTGAACATTCACTAGTAGGGGGCTAATCTGGTTTCCCACCTGAGTGCTCCTTCCCCTGTTTGCCCAGGGGGGTGTAGGTGTATTCAGATAATCTCCTGTACTGCTTGTGGATTGGTCTGCTCCAGGCAGGCTCCATCCCATTAGGCCTCCTGGCATTCTCCTTCCTCAAAGCCTCAAATCTTCCTCTTTTGCCCAACTTCAGCATCTGAGCCAGCTCCAACACTTTAAGTGTCTCCAGCCCCTTGTCAACCTCTTGTTGGGGATTGGCTACAACCCATCAAGAGTACAACCAGCCACTCCTCATATCCACCCACTGCCTCTAAGGTTTTCATCCAAAAGCCTTAAAGCAGGGAAGATATTCGAGGGGCTGGCCTGCAGAGCCTCAGACCCAACCACAATTTGACCCCTCTCTGGCTATTACACACAGCTGGGGGCTGAGGGGCAGAAAGAACAAATGGCTCCAGAGTCCAGAAGCAGAGCTTTCAACAAACTGGGAGGGGAAAAGGGTACAAAAACTGGGAAGGGAGAAAAAAATATTTACATTTTTACAAATTCTTTAGTAGAAAAAATAAAGAATTCTGTATATGTATAAATTTACATCCTGACTGACTAGACTAGCAGCAGAAAAACCCGATCATGGCACCATAACTGTATGGACAAACCAATATTGGCATAACCATATAGCATGCCCCCCAAAAAGGAGGCCTTCATCATCCAACAAGTCTTGTTCTTCAATGCAGGGGAGATGGCTCTCCTGAGAACTGCAGAACAGGAAACAAAGCAAACTAATTGCACAGTGCAGTCCTGACACTGACTAGGTTATAAGGCACAGCAGCATATTAACAATGACAACATTTGGGCGTGGGTTTTTTTTTTTTCCAGTCCTTGGTTGAGGAGCCCTGCCTTCAGGGGAAAAAAGGCGATTGCAAAAATGGACCCAGACCAGCATATCTGAAATGATGACATAGTCTGTATGCAATACAAAAACAAGCAGCCTACTGGACTGAGATCCTAATACTTCCAGGGGCTGTGCTGTCAGGGAGCCATCAGGAGGCCATGGAGTAGATGCTGCTTGGCTGTCCTTCCTTCAAAACTACCATCTGTTTCCTGTAAATGGCCCAGCCTTTTCTCTACTATGTCCTGAAAGTGGGCCCAGGCTCCTTCCAAGTGAGGCCCTCTCAGGTGTTTGAGAACATGCATATGGTCCCAGATAAAGTCCTCTTCCCATTGTACACAGGATTCCTCAATGTCCATTATGTCTTGAGGGACATATGGGTAATCCAGCCACCACTCTTCTGTTGCAGATGGAAGTAGCTGAGCAGGTTTCTCTTGTGTATTCCCCCCCCCCCCCCCCAAATCCAGATTGCACACAAGACTGCGGTGAACAAATGACCCATTCCTGCACTTCAGTATCTCTGGTCCTGGGCCAGGGCGATAAAGTGTTTGGGTGGTGGGGCTTGGGAAGGAATCCTGACAGGCTCTGACCGACAGGAATATCTTGTCAGTGAATCCAGGTCTTCTTTGGTACCCCTTCAGTCCCATTCTTCCTCTGTCTTCTCCGAGAACCAACCCTCCTGCTTAATCTCTAGGGGCCCTAACCTTGCTAGCAGTCTGACTCCCAATCTACCTCCCCACTGCAAACGCTCTCCACTGCCTCACCTGAGGACTGGTCATCCCCTGCAGCTAGGCTCCTACCAGGTAGACAGATCAGGGCAGGTAAGCAAGGCTGGCTGATCCAGGGCATCAACTGGCTTCTGCTGAGTAGCACTTGTTGGCACCAGCCCTAAAGCATCTTCTGGCAGGCAGGACGTGGAGGTGTGCAGCCCTTCTCAAGCTGAGAGGGTCTGCAATGGTTGCAGGGGAGATGTGGTTCTGGGACTGGACCCCGCTCTGTATAGCAGGCTCTGTATAGCAGGCTCCAGACATCCATGGATTTCCTGCAGAAGTAATGGGTCTGGAATGTGAAGTGAAGGAGGCAGACTGAATTGTAGAAGTGGGCAGAGAAGGGTCTGGGTGGTCAGCGTTGAATTGTTAAGATACACTTGCTGCTTTGTGGAACTAAAAACACATTTTTAACCTTTAGCTGTATGAGTGACCTTCCTTCCACTTGATAATTAGTTGGCTTCCTCCAGACCCTCTCCATACATTGTACAGCCAAATTTGTGTTCACCTGGCCATCACACCTACCTATAGGACTAAAGGTATGAGGACCCCATAAAGTGTTTCCAATAACTGGTATTGCTGCAGCATACAAAGATGTTTGAAACAATTGTGTTTTTCCATCCTTGTGGTACCAGTTTGTACACAGGCTTTGTGAAGCAGAAAAGGGTCTTCAAAGTCAGTTCCACATGGTTTGGCCAGTTTCTGTGGAGAAACGTGGATGGCCTTCAGAGCCCTGTTCTCAACCCAACTGAACAGAGCTCTGTCCTAAATCCTACTGAACACCTTTGGGATCAGTTGGAACCCTTGTGTGCTGGACTGTTCCAGATGTCTTCATACCCATAGACCAGCTCTGGACATGAGAATGGCAGGAACAGTCCACCACTGGATGTGGGGGGGGAACTCTTTTCTGAAGGATTGAAGGATCAGCTGGGTATAGACTCTGTGCACCTCCTGGACAAAACAAGCCGTTTACTCAGTGCCGGCACAGCCCTTCTGCATTCTGATTTAATGGCATGAATTACAGAACCTAAGGCTTTTATGGGTTTTACAAAGCAGAAAGGATGAGTAGAATCCATGAGGCCTGCATTCATTGATAACCTTTACTGCCATCATTTATCTGTCAGGCTAAAGAAACCTACGATGAGGCCATCAGCCAGGGTAAACAAGCCTTCCTTCTGGAGGAAGATGGGAGTTCTGGGGACATATTCAGCATCAGTGTTGGGAATCTTCCTCCTGGTCAGGAGGCCGAGGTCACCATGAAATACGTGAGGGAGCTGTCGGTGGAGGCAGATGGAGCTGTGCGCTTTGTTTTACCTGCTGTACTCAACCCCCGATACACCCCTAAAGGTAAGAGCAGATTTCTGTGAAGCTTAAAGGTAAGGTGAGGCTACCAAAAAATGTATTCCAAACCGCAATAAAAATCCTTGTAAAGTCTTACATTTTTTTGATTTGTAACACCTTGAAGCGGATTTACTCTGTATGTTCAGAAGTAAATTCAAGAATACTGTAACTACTCTAGTGCATGGTAAGTAGAGGCAGTTTATGGACTGAACTATACAGTTACTTTTTGTAGGGCAGCATTAAAGTTGAACTTCAGATCTCTAATATAGCTGTTCTGTCTCTCCAATCTAAGCATTGAAAGTGTGATCTCTGTAACTTACAGTTGTGATGAGATAGTGATAACTTCAATCTTAGTTGAATAACACAGGCAGTGACTTGATCCAGATGGCACCTTGTAGATCTTTTGAAGTTTATTCCATAAAATGAGAATCTTACAACCATGAACATTTGATAGGTCAAAAGATCATAATGTTATCTCCTTCCATATGACATGAGGCTTGAAGCTGAAATGCATTACTGGGGGAAAAAGGGTGGGCTATCTATACAGCAAAGGAAGGGGAGGAGCAGAGACAAAATGCAAAACACTTAAAGGCATATGACAGTCATGTGAGACATGACAATAGCTTTGTACTCAATAGTACATCTAAATGTTTGTTTTTAACCTCTTGATGTCCAACACATGTGCAGCGGCAAAGGGCAGGCATCCCTATGCACTGGACATATGCATCCACGGGCAGCAGGGCTTTCTGTGCTGAGCGCACCTCCAGCACAGTGACCGAGCTACAGTTCTCAGTCTCTAATGGTCAGCCAGCAGAATCTGCTCCCAATCATGTGACAGCCAATCAGTGATCACATGAATCGGCTGATCCTCTGAACCCCCCCCTCCCTCAGAGTTGGGGCCCTGTTAAAGGGATGTGGGGGCTGGTGTAATTACATTAATCTGACTTGACTTCAACCTCTTATCACCTGTACAGCAGAGCTCAGACTGAAAGAAGCAGCACAAGGAGCCAATCAGCTGTCATGAAGTGCTCGTAGGCTGATAATGGACATGCTGGTAGGAGAGATGCTCAGTCTGCTTCTCTTTTCATTATCCAGTCACAGGCTGGGGAGGGACAAGATCTACAAGGGTTACCTTCTAGTTGCCTTGGTAGACGTGCTGTGTAAATCTCCGGCCTAAATGGAAAGTTCTTTGGCAGATGGAACCGCCTCCTAAACTGGAACTTTAATCAGAAAACTTAGTCTTGCTAGATCCCCTCAGGCTGGTGGCTTTTTGCAGGTATAGCTATGTAAAACATTTAAAATGGGTGTCTATACTGTTTAAAATTCCAGTAATACAATGTCCCACACTGCTCTGCCCATACTCATTTGTTTGATATTTTCTGCAAATTTGTAAAGGCCGACTTGCTGAGGGCTTAAAGATTTACTGCTGCTCAAGGGCTAAAGGTTTTGGCAAAATGTCAGCCTCCAGCAAGAGGAAACAGGAGCAACGCTAGAGGCAACTTACAGCCCATACCAACTTTGGTAGAATTAAGTCGAATGTATGGTTCTTGCTAAAGAACTACACTTTTTTTTTTTTTTTTTTTTTTTTTAATAAAGTTCCACTGTATGTGTCATCTGTTTGTTAGTGGCTTTGTCTGGAGCTTTGGGTTGGGTACGTTTGCATGAAACTCAACAAAGATCAAAGATGCCGTGAATTCTTTGTTGCAATGTATTTGCTGATATTTACTTTTGGATCAATTGTTAGTATGATGGCCTTAGTGCTGAACAGAGTTCATTCAAGGACTGCTAATCATGGAGCCAGAATGGCCTCCATTCATGAAAATGCTGTTGGAAGGGCTGGGACTGATGTAACTACATTGGTTTCTGTACAGCACTGCAGTATGTCAGATATAAAAACATTTATAATGGTGTCTGTGGGGCGACCATTGAAGTGTAAGCTCCTCTGATGCAAATAAGTTCTCTGCAGCATTGCAGTATTTCAGAGCTATATGAATGTATACCAATAGTGTGACTGTAAAGGGGGGAGTGCTAGAGTGTAAGCTCCTCTGGTGCAAAGACTGATGTGATTGGCTTGGTGTTCTCTGTACAGCACTGTAGTATATAAGAACTATAGTATATAAATGTATAATGGTGTCAGTTGGAGGACATTAGTGTAAGCTCCTCTGGTGTAGTATATGTAAGGGCTATAATAAATGTAGAATAGTGTCAGAGGGCATTAGAGTGTAAGCTCCTCTGGTGCAGGGATGTGAATGGCTCAGTGTCCGGAGTATGGCCCTGACATATGTTGGCACTATAGTAAAATGTTTTATTTTACAGAATAGGTAGAACCATGAAGATCAGTTTGAGCCTCTAAAGGCGCCTACAGTGTAATTCTCTTACCACAGATCTACAGGCACAAACTGACTAGGAGCAATTCCTCTACCAACATATTCATTATAGGAGACCAGAGGAAATACAAGCTCAGGGAGGACATGCCTAAGGCAAACCATGTGCTTAAGATTTCTGTAGACGTGTGCAGTCTGCTTTATTTCACTGTAGATGGCGCACGACCAGAATGGTGCTGGAGAGGAAATCCTGATCCCTGGAGGCAGTGTTTCAGTTGGCTAGGCTGCATCAGTGACCCTGGTGGCCATCTTGGGTCAACAGCCTTTCCAAGGGCCTACCGCCAGGGAGAAACAGTCAAACCAATCCAGCACACTGCAAGTTTCCAACTCGCCAATTACATTTCTTATGATGGGTATGGATCAGGGATAGATGGTCATGCAATGAGAAATCCTGCAGCTGTCAACATAGATCCATGAAGCGCAAAGACAAAAGTAACAATAGTGCGAGACCTCCATCTGCATATGTCACACATTTATTAGAAATATAATCGTAGCACACTTGGGTATTAACACATGTTCAGCACAGGGGAAGCACAGACATACTCAGCTGGTGGTGCAAGGCTGCAGACTAGGTTCCTCTCCTTTTAGTGGGGAGTGTTTGATCTGAGAGCGGTCAGACTTGCCAGAGCTCAGTCCTAGATTGCTGTAGTTGGCCTTGTGGTGGTTCCTGTGTGTGCCTGGGAGAGGTGGGCAATGTAGGTGGTGGTAACGCGTTTGACAAAGGAGGATTTCCATTTGAAAGGCTTTCCCTTTGAAATGTTACCTCCTGTAATGGCAAATGCTATGTGTAAGAAATAAAGTCCTATACATACACGTCCTATATAATGAACACGAAGTCATGCAGGTACTTTTTTTTTTTTTTTTTTTTTTTTTTTTTTTTTCCTTCTTTTTTTTTAATCTGCATTTAAACCATTACATATTCTACGCATGTGAAAGACCATCTACCAAATGAACACCTGCCCTGGCACATGGCATTCACCCAGCATTCCAAGAAATAACAAAATCCAACTGCAATATTCTTGCACTGTCAAAACCTCCTTTTTTATCACATGGCACTCAGGAGGATATATCCTATAATCACAATCTGCATAATACACACCAATGTGAGCATTACAGCATGAAATAGACACATTTGACAGCGTCACGGCTTAGAACTAATACATTACCAAAGCTATGTTAGAAGCTGGAAGGAACAAATCCCATTGGAACCATACTGCCCAGGGGCTCACGGGGAAGCCGTAAGCATGACCCAATCGATGAGCCTTGGCAAAAATCCCAGCATCAGTGCCCCCTCACGCATGGAAAGGCCTCCATTGATCTCGCTTGGACTTCTGGCTTTTAAACCATTTTTTGGAAGCTTTCCAATAGTGGGCGGGTGCCACACCCACCACAAGAGGAGCTAGCAGAAAGGTTCCATGAGAATAACCATCACATTCTACCACCATATTGATCCCACATCATTCTCTGAAAAGTCACACTTTTTTGCTTATCTACCCTAAACTTCTTCCCATCTACCCTAACTTCTCAAGCAAGTAGATGTCTTTTTAAATAGGCTTTTATCTCCTAATTTGAGGTTACTAGATGTCAAACATGTTCCATTCCAGGGGCGGACTTGCCATTTGGAAACTCGGGCACTGCCCGAGTGCCTGGGGTCAGGGGGCCCAATGAGATGCCCCTGGTACCTTTTTTTCATAGGCTTTTTGGAGTTTGAGCAAGGACACGGGCCCCATGATCCCCTATTGCCCGGGGGCCTCATGAGTTCAGTCCGTCCCTGCCTGGTACCTTTTTTTCATAGGCTTTTTGGAGTTTGGGCAAGGACACAGGGGCCCCATGATCCCCTATTGCCCGGGGGCCCCATGAGTTGTCAGTCCACCCCTGTTCCATTCCATAAACAAGTTTTTATCTTTCAGCAGAATATCTTGTGACTGTTTCTTTGACTTGGAGAAATGACATCAGTCCCCTCTCATACTCCTGGCATTTGGGCAACAATACTTTATTGTAAAAATTACCCAAGAAACAAAGTGTCCGAAGCAAACACATTTCATAGGCATTACACTGCCCAACTCTCCCAGGCACACATAGGGACCACCATGAGGCTGACTACAGTGCTGTAAAACGCTGAGTTCCAGTAGGCCTCTGAAATCTGTCAGATCAAATGCTCTCCCCTCTAGCACAAGAGGAACCTGCTCTGCGGCCTTACACCACCAGCTGAGGATGTCTGTGCTTCCCCTGTGCGTAACATGTGTTTTTAATGAAAGTGCTGTTTTTACTTCTAGTGTGACATATGCTGATGGTCTTGCGCTGTTGCCACGTTTTTGTCTTTGTACCCCCAAGATTTGGTGTGCATTTCTGCATAATAGTGTAGGGAAAGTGATTAGCAGCATGGAAAGGTTCTGGATGAGTAGGGACAGGCTAGACACATGCCAACTTTTACTGCAGTCCTCCTTGTTGGGCTCATACTGACCAGGCTGCACTCTGAGATAGACGCTGTTGGTGCATCAGAACCTCCTTCATTCTCAAGTTGCACTCTGTTCTCCCAGCGTAGTGCCCTCCCACCGGGCTGTTTGTATATTTGGGTCTTTCCTTTAATACAAGCCTTATCTGCAGCTGGACTCTGTACATCACTGGACACTGGAGTGTATTTGCTGCACCTACTGCATTCTGGTTGGAATTCATCCCAGGAGCCCAGTACTGCATGGCTAACCACTTCTCAATGGACTGGCTGAGTTGTGTTTTCTACCCTCTGTGGTCCCATCCCTCCCCATGTATTGGGGCAGTGATACCACTTTTAATGTCATAACAAAATGAGGAAGGAACAATGTTTTGGGTTTTTTTTAACTACCCTTTTACATGTGCTCATGGTTTAGCCATGCAGTGGTGCCAGTAAAGGGATATCGTAACAGTCTGAATTTAAAGTCTGGTCAGATGAGGCAGTGCATCAAATGAGGTTGTAAGTGATTATTTGGGACATGGCCTTTGGTACTTATTGCATTTCATTACATTTCTTCTATAAGGTGAGAAGGAAAGCATTACAACAACTCTACCCAACGTGCCTATAAGTGATCTCCCATATACACTAAACCTGGAGGCTCAATTCAAATCGGCCTATGGCATTAACAAGATCGAGAGTCCATGCAACATCACTCCAATCCAGTACACCAATGAGGACAAGACTGAGGCCAAGGTGAGGGAACCAATCGCTTCTGACTTGCATTTGCTGTATTCCTTCAGAGTTTAGGTTTTTACATTGTACCACCACTATCCTGTGCAGTGTTGTCTAATACATTTTAGAATGTACTACTGCTAGGCTGTAACCAAATGAGCTGTTAATTATTTTTGGATTCAGTAGGTTCCCTCTAAGCCTGGTGGGTTGCTTGATTCAGCATGTTGATGGAAGGGGGTTCCGGTAGTAGACCATGTGGGAAGGATTAACTAGGTCAGGGGTCTCCAAACGTTAAGGGCCAGTTTTACTATCCTTTAAAACTTTAGGAGGGCTGGAATGGCCAGTAGGAGATGGAAATGTTCTAGTATCGGTGGGAGTAAACCATGGCATAAGCGTGTGATGGTCAATGGGAAGAGTAGTGCCTCATCAGTGGGAGAATCTCTTCCCCGTCAGTGGGAGCAAAGGGCCACATCCAGCCCACTGGCTATAGTTTTGAGACTCCTGCACTAGGTCCTGAACTTTTTATCTTCCTTGATGCTTTGGCATTGAGGAATGATTTTAAGGTGGTGGGGTCATGTCTGGCCTGCTGGCTTTTTTTTTTTTTTTTTTTTTTTTTTTTTTCTGACCCTCAGCTAGGGTCAGTGTGGTATTTAATGTGTGATTGAGGATTAAAATCAGCAGAGGCTAGAGCATTTTTGTCTGCTTGCCAGTGGTCTCCACTGTGGCCTAGTGGGCTGGATGCAGCCCTTTGTTTGCCTTTTTAGATGGCCCTTGAGGCCCTATTCCTCCAACTCATACGAGATCTTATTCCTCCCACTGACAATGGGGCAGAATTCCTACCACTGGCCTCAAAAGTGAGGCACTATTCCTCCACCTTCTTTCAAAGATGGGGCACTGGTGACTAGTCTGTCCCCCTCTACAGTCTGAAGGACAGTAAACTGGCCCTTTTTTGTTTAGAAAGTTTGGAGACCCCTGGCTTAGGACAAGTCAGATTCACCATCAAGGAAACAGACAGTCAGAAAAGCCCATGATGCTTTGAGAGCAGTCCTGTCCATCAGCTTCTACTTTTTAGTGGTTATCATAGGACCTACTGCCAATTCAGCATAGCTGTTCTCCTGTGCTTACTTGGGGAACCTGCACCCCAAAGCCCTCTAACAGTTAAGGGAGCTGCAATAAATGATTGTCAGAGGTATGTTGGTGAGCTTTTGGCTCAAGGCAAAGGGCAGGAAGCCATGGGACAGGTAGGAGAACCAAATTACTTCTAGCAGCTCCCTAGGGAGCCTTCCCTACAAGGGAAGGGGGTTTACTTCTCCACCATCATATTGGTAATACACCCCATCTCCCTAAAGTACTCGTGAACTGTTCTGTGTGAAACTGACTTTTCTTCCCCCTTTTTTACCATAGGTGGCGCTAGCAGAAGGTCATAAATTTGACCGAGATGTAGAAATTCTGGCCTACTACAATGAAGTGAATAAGCCCAGTGCCACTCTGGAGTCAGGTCTTCCAGATGCTACGGAAGGTCAGTTGATCAGAAGGTCAATTTATACAGGTTTTTTCCAGCATGTTGATAAATCCCTGCATGTCAGTGTTTAATTTTTTTTTATATATTTTTTTTTTTTCCATTTGAACTTTCACTCTATGAATAACATTTTAAAATTGAGTCAAACTGAGCTTTCAATTTAAACTTGCTAAATTTCAGATGCATCAAATCAAAGTCCTTGCCATTAATTTTCTGTGAAAAGCGGCCAAATCCTGAGTAGGAAAGCCTATCCCCTGCCAGCATGCTGCAATGAAGAACCCTTTCACCCTGTGCAGAGGCAGCAGTTTCTGCGCAGAGGTCCAACCTGCCGGTTCTAACAGATCAGCAGGGTCATGCACTTGATGGAGAGCTCTAGCTCTAAATCAGCAGTGGGGGGTGTAGTGGACCTCTGCAGAGAGACCACTGCTTTAATGCAAAGAGCAAGGGTCCTTATCTGCAGAATGATGGCTGGGGAAAGGCTTTTTTACTCAGTCTGTGGCTGCTTTCTAAATAACAATCTATGACTTAAACTGGTAGTTGAGTTTGGCTTATAGTCTAATTCCAACCATAACTGTTTGCCTTGTATAAAGCAGAGGAGAGAGGACGTCTAATGTTTGTTCCCAACTGTGTCCCCATTGGGGAGATTTCTGATCATTGCCCCTTTGAAGTATATCCACTTCCTGTCCATTGTGAATGCAGACTAGAATAAAGCATTTTTGGGAAAGTGGGGGTGAGTGCCTACGCATTTTGGTCTTTATGATTAACCCACCACATCCCGTTTCCTCTTATGAAAGTTTCAAAGGGATGGGACTTGAGCAAAAATCTCCCTGATGTAGTCTATTGCTGTTTTTTGTTCCTCTTGAGCTGTGTGGTAATCATTCCTGAGGTTTGATGGATCACTCTCTCCCATTAAGGTTCTTTCATGGCGTATCCTGTTGCCATGTTGAATTTCTACCCCAGCTTTCCCGAGACCCAGGAACAGTCGAAGTGCGGAGAGTTCATATTTGTGGTTGACCGGTCTGGCAGTATGGAACTTCCGATGATCTCTGAGCCGAACGCCCCAATGCGCATTCAGAGTGCTAAGGTCAGTGTACGGCTCCTTTGTTCATGCTTGGGAGTCATTGCAATGTAGGGTACACAAGAGCAACTATCAATGTCCAGTCATAACTACTCTTTCCAACCAAGGTCTCCCTTCTAATGTCTTACCTTTCTTACTCCTTTGTGCTCTAGGTTGTCATTTTTGAGGTGAACAGTGGGTCAGATTAACTGTCCCCAATGGTTGAGAGGCCACTTTTTGCATTCTCCAAAGTTTAAAAAAAAAAAATTAGCAGGTGCAGTCTCTACTCCCCACTGTAGATGGTGCTTGACCAAAGCAGTGCAAAGGAAGTTGAGGAACATGGTTTCTCTATGGTTACTGTGGCCCTGATAGAACGGCTGTCTAATTGGACCTTGTGACCACATCAGCCATCTTGTGTGAGGGCACAGCTTATTTAATTCCCTGGCCCCCTGATTTGGTGTGCACTTTGAGTGGCCAGTGTAGGGACACATTCCCCATCTGTCAGGGACAGCACTTGGCAACAGGGAGATGCTCCAGAGTAGGAAAAGTGCAGGGGTCTCCACTTCAGAATCTTTCCAGTTGTGTCGGACTGGCCAGGCCACATCCTGCTCCTCATTGAAGAAGCTGTGGGCAGAATTTCAAGGTTCAGAACCACTGCTACTCAGTCTCCAGGTGGTTGCGCTCACCCACCGGGCCTAATTGTAAATTGTTGGGACGTTCTACAATAGACAGTTTTATATTCTGTCTTTGTGTGATCTCCACTGCTGGCTCACCACACTGCACTCTGCTTACAAGGAGGTTGACTGGAGACTTTCTTGTCCCCAAAACTTTCTCCTATTTTGGTGTACACTGCTGCATAGGCACTGTACATTACTGGTATCCTATAGTAGGACGTGCAGAAGTTATATCAGCAGCCACCTATGGCCAAGGGCAATGGACTGAGAATCGGAGGGCAAAGATGGTTGCAGCGAATAGGGCAGGGACAGCTCTGTGGAGGGCAAACTTGGAGCTAGGTTTGCAGTAACTATTTTTGGCCTCTTACACATTTTGGCAACACCCCACCCCAGTTCTGGATGTTTAATCCAGCCTTAAAAACCACCTGTGAAGAGAATGAGACCTGGTGGCTCCATGCCAGTATCTCTATAGGTAATAGACAGAATATGAATGACCCGGGAACTCTTGGACCCCATTCACATGGTGATCTAAACAGATCCACCTGTCAGGTTTTCAGGTGGATCTGATTAGACCATCCATTCACCGCTATGGACCAGTGGGTGTAAAATATATTTGCATCCTCCAGTCCAATCCAGTCTGCTTAAATAAAAATATGGAAGGGGATCCAGCTAGGTAGATTGGATTGGAGGGTAGTTATATTTAAACAGTCTGTTTACCCTGGCCACCCATAGAGCAAAGCTGGCTTTGTTCATGTCTGTCTAAAATGAGTGGACATGGACCTGTCATCCGTCTGCTCTGATCAGAGCCCACCCCATGTGAAAGTGGCCTCCAGTGAACTTGACATATTTTTAATGAGGGAAGGCTAGAACCACTGTTCGTATGTATGTCCTAATAATGGAAGAATATTTTTGGCCTGACGTTATCGGTGCCCAATGGTTGAGTATTTTTATAAACCAACCTCTGTTTATCTATCATCCCTACAGGAGACGTTGCTTCTTCTATTGAAGAGTTTACCCCTCGGATGTTACTTCAACATCTACGGCTTTGGCTCCACGTTCGAGTCTTTCTTTCTGTAAGTATAACCGTGTTGTGGAGTAAAAGGGGAACTTCCAAAAATGTCTTCTGGGGCAGCACAGGAGAGCTGGACCAATGTAAATATGTATAAATATCTACATATACGAAGAATTTTTTAGATTTAAACACTCTCCTTGGAAAACCCATTAAAATTGGAAATGAGGAAAAATGTGTATAGATATAAAAAGTGGGGGGTGTTAAGGGATTTTTTTTTTTTTATAGGAGTGATAACCCATCTGTTCTCAGCTGCATAAAGAGGAGATGGAGGAGAAATGGCATTATACTGGTCTTCCCAGTGAATGACTGTGCATGGGGGGGGGGGGGGCAGTAAAAGTCTGATCTTTTGGAGAGCAGGCTGAGTTCCCAGCACATCTAGAGGATGAACTAGTGTGTTCTGTTTAGTGTAGTCAGTTTGTAATGGAAAGCGAAGAGGCTGGCAGGAACACCAGGTAGGAACACCAGGGATTTCACACAAAAGCAATACAAAGAACAGATTACCTTTTTTGTACATGGTACAGCAGGCACATTTTAGGAATATAAAATGTTGGGTTTACATATTCAAAGGGTCATTTTGGCAATGCTGTGTGATCAACTTTTTTTTTTTTTTTTTTTTCTAAATGTTGGGTTGTATGTGGGAGACGGTCAATATCTGCACATCAGTGCTAGTTAGAACCAAAAACTGAGACTTGGGCAGAAAGCTTTAAATTCCCCTCCCTCTGGAATCTTGCCCATGTAATTTTATATTAAATTCCGCTACTGCAACCCAAATGGTATTCTTGAATCTGTCTCCTCATTGAAAAATTGTGCAGTACCTCGATTGGAGAATAAAGGGAGTGGTGGTGCCATAGGGTTCTAAAAACTGCCTCTACATGATTGAGCTGAGGGGTTTCCAGTAAAGGGCACGGTCGGGGCCCAGTTACAAATTTGCGGTGCATTAATAGGCAGCAGGTAACAACCCAACGTGCCTAAAATCACACAACCTTTTTTATGTAATGTACAATCATGCATTTCCACACATTGTGGTGTGCTACATTGCTTTGGTGGGTTGCAGCACCTTTTTGATTTGGTATTGCGTGTTACCAAAATGCCGAAGTGTGAATCCTGCCTTAGTGCTACAGCATAAAGACATTTTAGACCAGTGTTGGATTTCAACTTTGTGGCAGCAGTTAAGGAAAGTCCTCTTGTTGTTTCCAGCATAACTCTGCCTTTTGTACAAAGCCAGCCTTATAAAGGCATGGTTTTTGGCAAATTTGGTGTGGAGGAACTTTAGTGTCCTGCATGAAGCCCTGACCTTAACCCTACTGAATGCCTTTTTGCTCCTGGTTGGATCAGTTTGATGTAGAATAACTCAGGTAGTCTGCACTTGACTGATCTCAGGCCTACTGAATAACTTTGCTACATAGTCGTGGTTGTACCAGTTTGTAGTGGAACAAGAGTGGCCTTCACGGAGCCCTGACCTCAAGCCTATGGCCTTCACGGAGCCCTGACCTCAAGCCTATGGCCTTCACGGAGCCCTGACCTCAAGCCTATGGCCTTCACGGAGCCCTGACCTCAAGCCTATGGCCTTCACGGAGCCCTGACCTCAAGCCTATGGCCTTCACGGAGCCCTGACCTCAAGCCTATGGCCTTCACGGAGCCCTGACCTCAAGCCTATGGCCTTCACGGAGCCCTGACCTCAAGCCTATGGCCTTCACGGAGCCCTGACCTCAAGCCTATGGCCTTCACGGAGCCCTGACCTCAAGCCTATGGCCTTCACGGAGCCCTGACCTCAAGCCTATGGCCTTCACGGAGCCCTGACCTCAAGCCTATGGCCTTCACGGAGCCCTGACCTCAAGCCTATGGCCTTCACGGAGCCCTGACCTCAAGCCTATGGCCCACCTTTGGGATGAACTTTAACATTACTTGCAAGCCAGGTCTTCTCATTAAACTCCAGTATCTAAGCTTACATAGGTCAGGTATGATTGCATGGGTGCACACTTCCAGACACATTTTAAAGCTGTGGAAAGCCTTCCTAGAGGTATTAAGGCTATTCTAGCCACAAAGAACAGCTCCATATTAATAGCCATGGTTTTCAATGGGATGTCCAACAAGCTCATAGGGGTGGTCAAGTGTCCACAAACTTTTAGCAATATACAGTAGTCCCCAATATTTTCTCTGTATACCAATTTTGTTCCAATGACAATGTACTCAAAAAAGAGAAAAATCGCAGGACTTATCAACAAACTCAACTGGTCCCGCTCATTTAACCTAGGTTCTGATCCCATTTGGTGCAAGACAGCCAGGTACAAGGTATCTTTCTGAGCCAGGGTGCGCGCAGCTCTAGTTCTCACAAGGAACAGGCAAATTGTTTTTATATTTTTCTGGGGTTTTAAGACTTGTAGAACTGGGATGGAGAAAGGCATGGGGCATTGGGATACTCAAAACTAGACAAACGTGGACACGATTACATAGCTAACTCCTATGGAAACCATATTTTACATGGAATATTATGTACAGCTTCGTTCAGGGGGAATGCCACAGTGGCAATAAACCCTGGCAACAGGTATGGAACAGTCCCTCATAAAATGCGTGGAAGCCATGCAGGAATCTGGGGGGGGGGGATGATGAGGGTAGTGAAAATGGGTGTGTTGGGGGTATCAGGGGTAGTACAGCAGTCAGAGCTGAGTGGAAATGAGATTTAGATGGGGAGGGGGGGGGGTGGAGAGGTATGGGCCTGTGAAAGCTGAACCCTGTACTCTATATGGGGTGTACCCTTGTACCCTTGAACCCTGCACCTTGTACATTGTGGACCCCTGATCCCTGCACCCTATATGTAGTACACTCCTGATCCCTACACTTTGTATGTAGCACAACCCTGAACCTGCACTCTATACATGGCATACCCCTAATTCCTGCACACTGTATGTAGTGCTCTCTTGATCCTTGCACGCGGTACATAGCGCAGCCTGAACCCTGCATTCTGTACATAGAGCACCATTGAATCCTATGCTTTGTACATGGCGCACTCCTTAACTCTGCACCCTGTACTTGGCACACCCCTGAATCCTTCACTGTGTAGCGCAACCCTGGAACCTGCACTCAGTACATGGTGCACCCCTGAACTTGCACTCTGTATGTAATATGCTCCTCGTATTTAATGCCCTTTTTAAAAACCCTCCCCAGTGCAGTTTGGTCACACCCACAATTTTTGGTGTGATTTGGCAGGAAGGGGGGGCATTGAGTTCCTGCACCTATTCTCTAAAAGCCCTGCCTATTGGCACCTAACTAGGAGGGTGCTACAATTGTATAAGTTAAATAAAATATGGCTGAAGAATACCTTGTATTAAGACTGGAAAGGGTACAAAAAAGTATATGATCACATAAAACAAATAAGCAGGTGAAGAGGTCTGGCTTTATCAATGTTTGCTTTGGCTCGGTCAGTGGTTGAAGGCACTAAATCCACTGGATCAGTAGGACCTTCCTTAATATTATAAATCCTGTGTAAGAATAGTGCTGACAGTTTGCTCAGCGCTTTACAATATAAGGGAGACTGTACAATTACAATAAATTTCAGTACAGAAGGAATGAGGGCCTGGCTTGTAGAGCTTACAAGCTCAAGGAAGTGGGAGGTGGTTCAAAAGGTGATGGCTGTAGGCGATGTTCTGATGGAGGTGGGTAGGCTTCCCTGAATAAGTGAGTTTTCAAAGATTGCCTAAAGGCAGACAGGGTGGGGGCTGACAGGACATACTGCTGTAGGGAGTTCCAGAGGATGGTAGAGGCTCTGGAGAAGTCCTGGAGGGGAGCGTGGGAGAAGGTTACGAGGGAGCTAGAGGGCAAGATGTCTTGGGAGGAGTAGAGCTCTTCTATCCTCCCTTATACCCCAATATACTGTATGGTAGGTTTTTTGCCACCTCCTGCGTGCCCCCTTATACCTTAAGAGTGTAGGCTCTTCCTTCTGTATCCTGCCTTATATCTAAATAACGAGGACTCCATACTTTCTAAACAAAGGGCCAGTTTACTGTCCTTCCAACTCTGGTGGGGGGAGCTGGACTGTAGACAGTAGGACTAGAAAATTTCCTAGCCTCAATGGGAATAAGCAGTGTCCCCTAGTTATCGGGGGGGGTGGGGGGAATAGCGCCCCACTATTGGTGTTAGTGGGAGTGTCCCGTATCACTGGGAGAAATAATGCCCCAAGGACCAGATAAAGGCAAGCAAAGATCTGCAGTTTGGACACCACTGTCATAATGAATTTTAAACTTTCACCCTCTGTATCCTCCCTTCCAACCTAATACTGTAAGCCTTTACCGTCTGTTTCCTCCCTTTTACCCTAATAGATTGTAAGTTGCTCTACTGTCTGTTGGAAGAGCTTAAAATCTGTTGGAGTATAACTGAATGTAGAGTGTAATACCTTCATATTCCACTTTAATACCCCAATCCACTTTTCTTTTCCATTCTACATCGGTTACTTTTTACCTCTATGTATGAAAGGTAGTCTACTTATAGACTTGCATATAAAATGCAGATATTATTTGGCAGGGAAAGTATGGAGTACACACAGGAGACTCTGGAGGCAGCTGTTAATAAGGTGACCCAAATGTCGGCGGACTTGGGAGGAACAGAAATCCTGGAGCCCCTTAAGAAAATCTACAAAACCAAAGGAAGACCCACAACACCCAAGACAAGTAAGAAGCCTTTCAGATGATCCAAAAATGAAAACAAGCTACCTGGGTTTTGAACTTGTACCCTCATCACACATATATTTTGTGATTGAGTTTCTTTTGGGGGGTTTCTTTCTCCTCTTAGCTTAGTGGGCAGTAAATACATATCATTTCTTCATGCTCCAGCTGTCCATTCAGAGCCTTTGGCTTATAGACCAGATCCATCCTAAATATGGAGCCATTTATCCAATTGTCCATCCAGAGCCTCTAGTTGTGATTTTTTTTTTTTTTTTTTTTTTTTTTTTTTTTTTTTGCCCTGAATTGAACTCATTTCACCCAGGATGAGCCCATCTGCTTGTGAACGCCCGAGTGGACAAGCAGACCACTGCACTTTAGATTTCTGGACTGAGTGAATTTACCAGTTTATGGTCTGCTTTTATATAGAAGATGTCCATATGGTTACACCATACAATCTCTCAGTAATCATTCATTGGTCTATCTTCTGTGACTGGTGGTCAGTAGGTCTTAGGGGAAGACCTGTGCTCCAAGAGATCCCTTTGTCAGTTCACCCTTCAGCTTTGTGTTTACAAGGTATTTTTTTTTTTTGTCCTTTATGGTTTGATGCTCAGATTTCAGTAGCATTTGTCCTAAATATTGGGTGTTTGTTTTTTTTTTTTTTTTTCTCTAGGTCTTCATCTTCACAGATGGAGAAGTGGGTAACACAGAGCAGGTGATAGCAGAAGTCAAGAGAAATGCACACAATCACCGGTAATTTTCTGTTCTCATCTCTTCTATGTAGGGAAAATGTCATATCCAAAGTCTCCGACTTCAGACTAGTGATGTCTGCTGTTAGTCAGTTATTCAATAAAAAAACTCACTATGGGTATTATCCTGGAGTTTGAATGTCATCATTCTCTGCACACTGTTGGATTTATAATTTATAGGTGTTTCACCTTTGGAATTGGTGAAGGAGCCTCCACCGCTCTCATTAAAGGCATGGCCCGGGCAGCAAGCGGCAACTATGACTTCATTACTGGGGAAGATCGTCTGCAGCCAAAAGTGAGTTTCTAAAGGATTGATACTCAAATGTTCAGGACGTACAAAGAATGAGTGTGGAAAAACAGTCAGTCCAAATTCTGAAACCTGAACATCCAACGCAAGGCTCCATTCTTTGGCCCCTGCTATTCTCTACACTTCTTCCCTGTGTCAATTGATATAACCTCCCTTGGTTTCCAAAATCTACACCAAAGACAACCCAGATTTCTCTACTACCAGCTCATCCCCTTGATCTTGTGTCTCACAAATTTACTGGGTGACCTTTCAGTATGGATGTCACACCAATTCTTCAAACACAATATTTCTAAAGCTGAGCTTGTAATATTTCCTCCTCCTTGATCTTCCCCCTCATGACTTTACCATTGAGATCAGCAGCACAACCACTGGTCCTCCACACATGCAAGGGTCTTGGGTGTCATCATGGACTCTGATCTCTTTTTCGGACCCCCCACATCAATCACTGGCTAAATCCTGCCACCCACCTCAACTTCTGCAACATTTCCATAATTCACTCCTTTCTAACGACACCACAACTTTTCCACACCTGGTTATATCCCCACCTTGAGTACGGCAAATACTTCCTCACTGGCCTACAATTTGATGATTTTTCCCCCTTCAATCTATTTATGAATGCTAACTGCTAGACTTGCCTTACCAACGATCCAATGACTGCAGCTGCCCCTCTGCTAATCCCCTTCACGTTTTATTTTCCACTAGCCCAACAAAATGCTAACCACGATGTTTGCAAATCCATTCACAACACTGCCCCAGCTCATTGTCCCCAACCGCCCTCCTCTGCGAAAAAATATCACCCATATTCCTGCCTACCCGCTTCTGTCACCATCCTGCTCTATCTCCCTGTGTCACCTAACCCCATCCCTGTTCTCTAACTCCTGCGTCACCACCTTCCATGCTCTTCTCTAGAACCCCTCCATCCTCTGGGAACTCCCTACCCTCAGCTCAGTATGTGTTGACTCCCACCCTGTCCTGCCTTTAGGCAATCCTTAAACTCATTTATTCAGGGAAAACCTACCCCACTTTACAACTGTACTTGAGGTCTCCTCCATCAGATGTGTTCCCTACAGCAATTCACCTTTCTTTTTCTTTTTCCACCCCCCCATTCCTTAGATTGTAAATGACACGCGAACAGGGGCCCCTCCTATTTTTCCCCAATTTTTTTTTTTGTGTTGTATTGTAATTTTTACTGTACCCTCCCCTCCCCCCATGTTGTAAAGCGCATGCAACAAACTGCCAGTGCTAGATCAGAGTTTTTCTCAACTTTTTTGTTTATTTTTTTTCTTTTTCAGTCAAAGGCACCCTTTATAAATTAATGGACAAGTCTTGAGGCACTCCCATTCCCAAAAAAATGGGGGTGCCCTCTAGATTGTGGGTTTTTTATTGGGCACCCTATACTAAAAATGTATAAAACTATTCTAATAGTTTTATATAACACAGCTAAACATCCACATAAATTGGGACACCCAATATTGAAAAGATGCTATACTTTTTTTTTCCCAAACTCCAATATACTATTGCACACTGGTTACTGACTAGTAATCCAATGTTAATCTCTTTCCCTCCAGTTTTTTTTTTTTCTCACTGAGATAATGTGTACCCGCCCCCTCTGTGCTGTGTGGGGAGGGTCAACCAAGAGAATGCTGTGCAGGCAACATTCATCAACTGACGTCATTGGTTGTCCAGTAACACCTGAGGCTTTAGAAGGTTCCTAAATGGGTGCACAATGAGAACCTGTGGCTTTGTTGGGGTTAACTAAAAAAGCAGGCTTGGTTTCACCTGCTGGCTTGTAAAAGTTTCTGGCAATTTTTTTTAAAAGACCTTGTTGCCAAGGCACCCCTGAAGAAACCAAGGCACACCCCAGGTGTGCCTGGCACCTGGTTGAGAGGCTGTGCTATATGAAATTCTTTAATGGGATCATAAACTTTATTTTTTTTTTTTTTTTTTTCCCCCCCCAGGGCTATAAAACAGGGCAGCCTTTCTCAACCCAGGGTATCATGGAAACCCTATGACTCGCATTTGCTATGGCCTCTTTAACCATTAGCCACCCGGCCAATGGACGTTTGGCGGCTTCAGAAAGTCTCTTGCACTCCGGGGGTGCACGCCATTTGGTGTGCTCCCGCACATGCGCAGTTTGCGCTAATGCGAGCGGCGCAGCAGTGTGTCTGTCACCGGGCCGTGCACCTCGGACCAAAGCCGGCCGATGACAGATCAGAGTACCCGCCTCCTGTTGCTGGGTACCAAATGTGACCTGCTTTGTGACCAATCACAGCAGGTCACATGACCATTGATATATACTAGTGTCTAGCTGTGAATGGTCACAGCTAATCCCATGCACATGTCCCCATGTGATTAGCTGTGACCAAATCACAGCTAAGCACAAAAAACTGAATGAATCGATTTTCATTTCAGGTAAATCGCTTGCTTATAGACGCCAAAGTAATACTATTTGCTATAAGCAAAACTGTGGAAAAAAAAAAAAAAAAAAAAAAAAAAACTGAGATCACTTCCCCAAAGTAGTACAATGTTACTATGGTAACAAATTTTGTACTACTTTGGTCATAGTAAAATGAATTAAAAAAAATCTTAACATAAAAAAAGTAATTTGTAAAATATTAAAATATAATAAAAAAAGTTTAATATAAACAAATATAATCAATTTTTTTTTCATACTGTCTCCAGTCATTGGTCCCCTTGATAGTTTGTCAACCGCCATGCCAGTTATGATGACGCTCGTGATACTGCACAACTGGTGACAGTATGTAAAAATGAAAATAAATTTTTTTATTTTAAATTTACTGAAAAATTATGCACAACAAAAATACAACTTCAAAAAAACTCGCCATGCCTCCTCATATGAAGTAAGTACGTCGGACTGTCTACTCTACTCTGCAAAAAAGGGGTCATTTGGGGGATATCTGTAAACTGTCCTGACATTTTTGGGGGGATATCCTGTACTGTCCCTGGACACTTGGGGGATATCTGTACTGGTCCTGACTAGAGATGAGCGAATCTGAAGTAGGCGAAGTGGAATTTGAGTCGAATATTGGCAAAAAAATTTCCGAATCCCGAAAAAATAGCCTTACTATCGGACGCGCGAAAATCAAAAATTTTTCCTAAAATTGGCCGGCGGACAGTCGGTGCGGGGATGTCTGGGAAGGCGCGCAGACAAGGCGCGCTGACCCATAATGCATTCCTTAATGACATGTGATCGCATTAGCCAATCAAGCAGCCAGCCAGCCAGCCCTGTGTAAAATGGTCCCGAGCTATAAATTTAAGCGTCCATTTTAGAAAATCTTCATTTGCCTCCAGTACCCATTCAAGAGAGGCAGACCGCTCTTGTATTAGGGACAGGAGTTGGGGCCTACCCGGAGCCGTAACTTGGGCCTACGGAGCCGTAAACTTGGGGGCCTACCGGAGCCGTAACTTTGGGGCCTACGGAGCCGTAACTTGGGGGCCTGTAACGGAGCCCGCAGACGAAACTTGGGGCCTACGGAGTCCGTAACTTGGGTCCTACGGAGCCGTAACTTGGGGCCTACGTAGCCGTAACTTGGAGGGCTACGGAGCTCCCGTAACTTGGGGGCCTACGGAGCCGTAACTTGGGGCCTACCGGAGCCGTAACTTGGGGCCTAACGGAGCCGTAACTTGGGGGGCCTACGGAGCCGTAACTTAGGGGCCTACGGAGACCCCCCCCGTAACTTGGGGCCTACGGAGCCCGTACCTTGGGGCCTACGGAGCCGTAACTTGGGGCCAAACGGAGCCGTAACATTGGGGGGCCTACGGAGAGCCGTAACTTGGGGCCTACGGAGCCGTAACTTGGGGCCTACGGAGCCGTAACTTGGGGCCTACGGAGCCGTAACTGGGGCCTACGGAGCCGTAACTTGGGGGGCCTACGGAGCCGTAACTTTGGGGCCTACGGAGCCGTAACTTGGGTGGGGCCTAACGGAGCCGTAACTTGGGGGGGCCTAACGGAGCCGTAAACTTGGGGCCTACGGAGCCGTAACTTGGGGCCTACGGAGCCGTAACTTGGGGCCTACGGAGCCGTAACTTGGGGCCTACGGAGCCGTAACTTGGGGGCCTACGGAGCCGTAACTTGGGGGCCTACGGAGCCGTAACTTGGGGCCTACGGGCCGTAACTTGGGGCCTACGGAGCCGTAACTTGGGGCCTACGGAGCCGTAACTTGGGGCCTACGGAGCCGTAACTTGGGGGCCTACGGAGGCCGTAACTTGGGGCCTACGGAGCCGTAACTTGGGGCCTACGGAGCCGTAACTTGGGGGCCTACGGAGCCGTAACTTGGGGCCTACGGAGCCGTAAACTTGGGGCCTACGGAGCCGTAACTTGGGGCCTACGGAGCCGTAACTTGGGGCCTACGGAGCCGTAACTTGGGGCCTACGGAGCCGTAACTTGGGGGCCTACGGAGCCGTAACTTGGGGCCTACGAGCCGTAACTTGGGGCCTACGGAGCCTTAAACTTGGGGCCTACGGAGCCGTAACTTGGGGCCTACGGAGCCGTAACTTGGGGCCTACGGAGCCGTAACTTGGGGCCTACGGAGCCGTAACTTGGGGCCTACGGAGCCGTAACTTGGGGCCTACGGAGCCGTAACTTGGGGCCTACGGAGCCGTAACTTGGGGCCTACGGAGCCGTAACTTGGGGCCATACGGAGCCGTAACTTGGGGCCTACGGAGCCGTAACTTGGGGCCTACGGAGCCTAACTTGGGGGCCTACGGAGCCGTAACTTGGGGCCTACGGAGCCGTAACTTGGGGCCTACGGAGCCGTAACTTGGGGCCTACGGAGCCGTAACTTGGGGGCCTACGGAGCCGTAACTTGGGGCCTACGGAGCCGTAACTTGGGGCCTACGGAGCCGTAACTTGGGGCCTACGGAGCCGTAACTTGGGGCCTACGGAGCCGTAACTTGGGGCCTACGGAGCCGTAACTTGGGGCCTACGGAGCCGTAACTTGGGGCCTACGGAGCCGTAACTTGGGGCCTACGGAGC